TGTTGGGGTATCCCTCCTACATGGAGGAAGGAGTTCCTAAACTATACATTTGGTGTTAAAAATGTAATTGGTTTAGAGTTGGTTGCTATAATAATAATAATAATATTTATTATTATTATTATTATTATAAAGGAAAATTGTGAGTGGTGGGGGCTACCACTTACTTATTATTGGTGCCATTATTTAGAAAAGGCTTTGCCTTTGTTTTGGCCTCTCACGGCAGAAAAACAGAGAAGAAATGGGGTGAGAGCCGAGAGAAGGAAGAAGGGAGAAAAGAAGAGGTGCAGCATGGTTTTGTGCTCCGATCGATGACCAAACGAGCTCCGATTGGGATGAAATTTTAGTATGTTGTTCCTCACTTCCTCTTCTTCATATCCAACGGTGGGATTGTTGTTTTGACCTCTCGATGTCGGTAAAATCGCCTCTGTTTACTGCTGCGTTTTTATTGGGGATTTCTCACTTTTGAGTGAAGATCATTGTTGTTTGGTGTTCCAAGTTATTACTTGATGATTGTGTATACCTCTAATTGATTTAGAGAGGATTCTTGGTGTACCCACTGATTTTCTTGGTGATTAGTGGAAGGCTTCGTGGTTTTTTTCCCGATTTGGGGTTTCCACGTTAAATCTTGGTGTTCGTTTATCGCTTGATTGATTGCTTGTTGTTGTGTTTGCTATTCTTGATCGGTCATATGATTTTGCCCATTTTGACAACACAAAGACGGGAAAATTATTTATTGCTTCCGCTAGAAAATTGAGGTGATTTTCCCAACAGATGACGAGAGAGTGAAGAAGACTAAGAAAAACTAATAGCTCAATGCCGAAATATGATCCTAAATACATCAGCTAAAAAAATACTTATTTCAACAGTTGGAAAATGCTTATTTAGAATGTATGACCATGGATCTTAGGCCCATATAATAATTTGCCAAAAAAAATACTCCGGGTAATATTTATATCAAAGGAGTGATCATGGTATAGTTTTTTAAATAACAAGGACTGCTAATATAATACTTTAAAATTTAAGTGTAAATAAAAAAAACTCCTCTTGTAAAAGAATACTTAGGCCCCGTTTGGTACATGGAATTCAAATTATGGAATTGGAATTGAGGACTTCAATTCTAATTCTGGTGTTTGGTAGCACAAAGATTTGAAATTGATAGTGTAAAAAATGAATTGAAATTGGTAAAATTCAATTCTATGGAATTGAATCTCATAAAATTTCAATTCTAATTCAATTCCAATTCCGTCCGGACCATTTTCATAATTTGAATCCGCGTTTTAAAAAGCTAACGCTAATGAAACTTTAATGCAAAAAGTGCATTTGCTCCGGTCTATAAAGCCGCGGAATAGAAGACGTGTACCGCTAAACACCTAAATACACACACACACACATAAACGCACACGGCATAATTTTCCGTCTCTTCTTCCTTTCTCCACAGACCACTGAGCTTCTCATCTTCTACAAAGTCAAGAAAACAGGTGAAAAAAAAAAGGAGTGACGCCTGGGAAAAGAAAACAACAATGCTTTCTTGCAAACCAATCTTCTCTAAACAACCCTCTTCTCTGTTCTTCACATCTATAGTCATCTTTTTTATTTTGTCTACACTTGGTGAAGCTTCTGTAATTGATTACATTGAATCCTCCTCCCCCTTCATCCCAGGCATGTATGTTGTTTTAGTGAATTTAATCATACTATAAATTCGGTTTCATATACATTAAATATAATATACTCCGTAATTTTTTTTTGTATCTGTTTGGATGAGATGCTCATTATTGATTAGAACAATGTTCATCCCTTTTGATCTTGTGATGTTTGTGTTTTTTTTATTCCACTCATTTTTCTGGAGTGTAAAGAATGCTCATGTTCAAATGTTTCATGTTTGATGTATAATACTCCCTCCGGGGTCCCGGAGTATTCGTCCAGTTTTGACTTTTGGAACTGTTCATCTAAGCACTTTCACTCATCAAATTCTCTCTATGTATAAGCCTAAATATAGTCATGTGTGATCTTGTTTGATTTGTAACATATAGATTATTAATATATAATTTCTATAATTTTTTAATATACAAATTACAAGATAAAATGGATTAAAGAAGTGTATTGGATGGTGTGTAAAATTGAAAGTGGACAAATACTCTAGGACGGAGGTAGTATACACTATTGTATGTTTTATCTTGTTAGAGATTCAGGGTATTTCTCACTCTTTTTAGTGATCGATTCTAGGGCTTTTTTTTTGTAGCTTCTGTGTTTGATAGAAGGAATTTTGTTTGGTTTGAATGCAATTTTGATGCATGATTTCCAGCTTCTCATAGAGACAAAAGCTCAATTCTCAAGCTGAGAAGCATTTCTGAATTGCTTTTGAATTTTGGGTTCAAAATAATGAACCAATTTTCCAAAATCTAAGACAATCCTATTTTTTTGTTAATTTATCCTGCATTAGGAAATTCTTTATATGAGAGATGAAGTTTAATCTTATTGTCTAGATTTTAAGGTCATCATAATGTTTTATTATGAAGCCATTTCTTCTTTGGAGTAATTTTCTTACCCCATTTTTTTATTTTACTTTCTTCTTATCAAGAATGTATTAGTGGGTTATTGATGAAAATGAGTGCTTGATGATGAGATTAGGTGGGTTTGTTTGGAGCCAAAATGGAGCCGTTTCAAGGGAAAGCGAAGGAAGTACCCTAAGGAATGCCCACAATGGTGGTGTGAGTGTGAGTGAGAGTTCTTCATCCTTAGTACTTGCTGCAGACAGAACACACAGAAAAGATCCATCTGACAACTTAAAATACTATACCGGTGGATGGAATATCAGCAATGAGCATTACATCTATGTAAGTACCACCTTATGGGGCATTTATTTTAGAGGTTAAAGTTAGGTTGAGCTGATCAAATGAATGAAAACTATTGAATTTTTTATCAAGAACTCCAACAATCATTAATGAGCTTTAATGTTGTGTGTTTTTTTTACAGTCTGTCGCATTTACCGGTGCTCCACTTTTCTTCATTGCTGCGGTTTGGTTTTTGGGTTTTGGCCTTACATTACTATTGATTTGTCTTTGTTGCTGCTGTTGTCGAAGAACTCCCAATGGTTACTCTCTGAGTGCTTATGTGCTTTCACTTATCCTTCTCTCCTTATTTACCATCGCTGCAATGTAAGGGCTAGCTTCTTCTTGTATTTCCTCGAAATTATTATTTACCATTGCTGGATTGTTTCATTTTTTTTATAATATAACCTATCTGGTTCTTAATGTGCTGCTTTGTTCAGCATTGGTTCCGCGGTTCTGTATACCGGACAAGACAGGTTTCACAGTAGTACAAAGGGCACACTAGACTTTGTTTTGGCGCAAGCAGATTCAACCGTAAACAAGCTGAGAAATGTGTCGACCGTTCTGGCTATGGCCAAAAGCACGGGCATTGCTCAAATATTTCTACCCAGAAATGTTCAAAGCGACATTGATAAGGTTGATAGGACCATCAATTCTGCTGCTGACACTCTTGAAACTGAAACGAGGAAGAACAAGAAGGACATCCTACATGTTCTTGACCTTGTGTAAGTATTTCCTCTCATCCATGTCAGAACTGCAAAACACATGCTTGACTCACTCTAGTAGTATTCATACTTGTGAGTCCATTTTTAAAAAGTCAACAGAAGTAATTCTGATAGACAATACATGTCATTTTTCCAGGGGACAGATTCTCATAGTTTTAGCTGCTGTTATGCTTGCCTTGGCTGCTCTTGGTTTTCGTAAGCTCACTGTTTCTTGACCCCTTAATTTGCACTTAAACCAGCTTCCTATATAATCATGTCTCACTTGATTCTTTTCAAATTTGGTTCAGTTTTTTCTCTCCTTGGCCTCCAGTCTCTTGTCTACATGTAAGCTTTATCACAAGCATGCATTTTCCTAATGATATGTTTGGAAACATGGATTTGGATTTCAAATCCGGATTTGGCTCAAATTCTATGTTTGGGAAACTTAAAAAATTTGAATTTGGATTTGAGTCAAATTCTTCTCATTAATAACAAAGCTTAATTTGAAATTCATGCACTTCCTCTTGTCATTTGAAATTCAAGATTTCAAATTTTGGAATTGAAATGCATGAATTAAAATGAAATGCTAGTTGCCAAACACTACCTAATATTATTCACTCAATCTAAGAGGCATGTTTTGGTAAATATATATCTTAATCTTATTCATCCCCTTCTTGCAGTCTTGTTTTCACGGCATGGATTCTCATTGCCGCCACATTGATCTTGAGCGGGGTGTTTGTGCTCTTACATAAGTAAGTCATCCTCTTCAATTTTCGTACATAGGAACCGTAGCTGTAGTAATCTTATCATGACTTAAGCCTTTTGAAGCTCACCAAAGACATGACCCTACATAGGAGTGTTTGAATAAAGTTTTTGGGTAAGCCTAGATCTTTCGAAAACAACTTCTTTGCACGGTCTAGGTACACATGTCCTCCCCAGACCCCATTTATGGGATCCTTTTATGTCCCCATTATATTGTTGTTGTTATAGTCATTTTACCCTGAATTTCGACGAGAATTTATTTGACTGTTCTCTTCTGTTTCCAGTGTGGTGGGAGACACGTGCGTTGCCATGGACGAATGGGCGAAAAATCCCAAGGCTCACACAGCATTGGACGATATCATTCCGTGTGTCGACCCTCAAGCTGCTCAAGACACACTGTCTCAGAGCAGAGAGGTAACATACGCAATGGTTTCAGTTGTTAACCGCATCATAAGCGACGTGTCCAATGTCAACATGCCATCCCTTTCGCCTCTTTGGTACAACCAATCTGGTCCCTTGGTGCCCAGTCTCTGCAACCCGTACGACTCCGACAAGAGAGACCGAAAGTGTGTGACTGGGGAACTCAACTTTGAAAATGCAACCCAAGTTTGGAAGAATTACGTGTGTGAGGTTTCAGCAGACAACATGTGCAGCAGGGTGGGGCGCTTAACGCCGGATTTGTACAGCCAGATGAAAGATGCAGTGAATGTGAGTGGGGGTTTGTACCAATACGGTCCATTCTTAACTGATTTACTCGACTGCACGTTCCTCCGAGGCACATTTAACGCGATACACGACCACCATTGCCCAAACCTGTGTCGGTTCAGCAAGTGGGTCTACATTGGGTTGGCTCTGGTTTCTGCTGCGGTGTCCCTTTCGCTCATCTTCTGGGTGATCTATGCCAGAGGAAGGAAACACCGTAAGTATTACGCCGAACTTGAGGATGCCAGATCCGGGTCCGGTTCCCCATTCCCGGCGGGCAAATGATGTAAATAGTTTAATATGCAATAGGAGTCCTTATGAATTATATCATACTCAAGAAAAAGTCAGTGCAGTTTTGGTAGTATAAGAACAATGAGATCATAATGATTCCATGATCATTATTGTTGAAATTAAGTCCCATTTAGCGTGTCTACGTTGTCGAGCCTTTTGAAGGCAACGTTTACACCGAATATGGGAAAATTCCTACGCACTCGAATGCATTTACATTTTCCACTTGTAACTTGCAAAACACATTTGACTTATTTTTGGAGCAAATAACTTTTATTTTTTGTATTGTTTACTCTAAATAAATCTTTTTAAGAGCATGTTCTTTAAAGTTTAAACTATTAATTTTTAGTTTCTTTCAACTTCTTCCAATTTTTCAAGTTTTTTTCCAAATTCTTCTACTTTTTCCAACTATTCTCATTTTATTCAATCTTTTTCTACTTCTCAAATAATGACTCTAAGAATGATGTATTTTTCATATATTATTATTACTATTATTATTATTACTCCATTTTTTTTATTCTTCTTCTTCATGTTCTAATTATTATTATTCTTATGGCAAGGATCTTTTGACCATGGTATCAGGTAACCTTAAATGGCCTTGGCATTTTGGGACATGATTTGGCACTGCCAAACCGGCGATCTAGGGGGGCAGGGGTGCTGGGGTGGGGGGCAAGGGGATTTATGGGAGTGGAAAATATCAATTTTATCAACGGAGCACCGTAGTGGCCTCGGGTCGTAATATGAACTTGAATTCCAAGGTTAAAAGAACCGTTGTGTTATTATTAATATTATAATTATCACATTCATAACTATAGTTTATTTTTCAATTTTTAATTTTTCCCATGTCATTTTTTGTAACTCACAATCATTATTATTTTTATTCCACTTTAATATAAATAATCCGAAGTGACGAGTATCTATAATCCGAAGCGTCGGCATATAACAGCGGTTGACAATGACATTGTAGACTCTTGAGCATCTATACTCATTCCCCTCATTTTCCCCTTTCTCTTTCTTTCTTTTCATTCCAGAGCACTTCCCCCTCCTAACTTTCCTCACATCACTTTAATAATTCTTCATTTGTTTCTTCTTTTTTAAATGATGGACCCTACATGTCATAAATTTATTTTATCCACCTATTTTTTATTAAAATAAATCAAGATAATTTAATTGTGACACCCTAATCTGTTCGTGTCTGCAGCCCCTTTCGGACTAAAGTATTAACTTGATAATCGTAAAAATTGAAAACATTTTAAACATCTTTATTCATCATAAATAATATTCAATACATAACTATAAAAAATACGGAGTGTTTAATTATGCGGAAGCGAATTTAAAACATGTCTCAAAATATTCATAATTCATTATTTAAATCCACAAACCCATCACGACCATCTCACCCCATCTGTCTCCAAGAACTCGTCACTTCATTCTTTTTGTTTACCTGAGTGTAGCAAATAAAATATACTACACGCTCAGCGGTAAAGCTAGTAAGCATATCTAATGTGTCGAACATCCATATAAATTGAATCTCAATTCATAATCAACCATTTGATATCATGCACACAATATACAATTCAAGCATTTACCATTCATGATATTCACAATATTTTAATTCAACTCATTTCATGATATATTCAATATTCAATATCTCAATATCTCAATAGTGCTCTTATTCTTAATCTAAGGCCAAATCATTTTATTTTATAACAATCTCTTAGTTATTCCTAATCTAAGGCAATATTTCTAACCGGGCTCTTAAACTATAAATAGTTTAAGGCTGAACACAGGAATCGATAATCCACCCTATGAGTCTTGTGGATTACATACCAACCGAACAATGAACTGTCGGGTAGGTGATATCCGGTTTGGATCCCGTACGTACGTTTTAACCCCAAATTTTTGAATTGGTCACATAGGTATATCTTAGAGTTCTTCTAGATATTCTTAATAGTAATCAACAATTTCCAAATGGGTATATCTTAGAGTTCATCTAGATACCCTTAACAATACACATCATTTTCATAATCATCAATATGTCCATTTTTAGTCATGACTTAATCATTCATAATTATAACATTAATCAGAATATTAAAGTTTAATCATCATTATCATCAATCAATAATATTTATCATAATCATCAATCATAAATAGCGGCCTAGCGTCGAGTGTTAACACCCTAGTTTACCGTCATACATAAAACAAAGTTCTTGAATTTGTCAAAACATCATTTTTACTTCCAAAAATCATATTCATATTGATCATAATTGATTTGTATCAAAAATAGGACTTAATAGTTCAAAAATCGAGTTTTCTAGAAAAATATCGGATCAGACGGTACCCCTTACGGTACCTCGGTACTGTGCCGACGGTACACGGTACCACCAGAGGAAGACGATTTTTCTGGAGGAGACAGTAGCTAGCCTTCCGTGCCGCCGGTACCAAGGTACCGTCTGGACGGTAGCTGGCTACCGTTCTGCGCGTAGTTTTGAACATTGTCATCTTCAACCTCGAGCTAATTTTGGAAATGTCATTTTTAGTCACCAAACTTCAATTAAGCTATATAGAAATGTTCTCCAAGGTTCATAGGTCATTTTGGTATCATTAATTCGTAGTTTTAACAACAATTTCAAGGTTTATGATTTTTAGTTCTTCAAGCATGTCAAACACAAAACTCAACCAAACAATCGTTTATGAACGTAGACACGATCTATACGAACATTCTAGTCACTAGATATATCTACGGGCTTACCTTGAAGCTTAACGAAGGTTTTGTGAAATTTCTGGCAAAACATCTCGTGAGGTTTGTGACTAGCTCCGACGACATCACGCCAAATTGACAGCACCACAACACTCCTCAGACTTAGAGCAACAGAATAGGAAGAAGAATAAGATGATTTGGTGAATAAATGGAATGGGTGAGTATTGCTTATATAGGAAGGTGATGGAGGAGAAGACACATGATGCTGAATTAGGAATCAATTAGCCGATCTTCAAACGGCGGAAATCGACTTTTGCGAGATTCACACGCCGTTCCCTGATTGGGACTAATTTTGGTCCCAGTCAGGGTACACTTTTTTGTCCAACTTTCTTTGAATTTCAATCTGATTGAATCGTTGTGGTCAGACAGTCAAACTCTACATAACGATATAATTTTCATTATTTATTGACAAACTTTATAAATCACTTGTTTTTGGATCCTTCTCAGTAATTAATTAATTTTCAATTAATTAATTATGGTAGGCCTATTTTCGGGGCGTTACATTTTTCTCCCCCTTAAAATAATTTCCTCCTCGAAATTACCCGAGTCATTGGTTGAAGAGATTCAGATAATTTTATTGAATAAGGAAACATATTAATGATGACATCAGAATGTTCCTCAACATAGTCTTTCACAGCATACGCACGTGCATAAGTTCGTTTGTGGATTGTTTCCTGCTGGTGCAAGTCGGGCTTATGTAGACTGACTTTGAACAAGGGCCATCAGAAATGGTTTTCCAGGGTTCGTAGGACATTCCTTTCGGAAATGCCCAGATTTACCACAACCTATACATAATACTTGTGCCGCCCAACATTCTCCTAGGTGGTGTCTTCTACAAATGTTACACTTCAGATGTTTCCACACTCTCAATTTGTGTTGAGTTGTAGAGGCTTTCTTCTTTTCAAGTGTGGGGTACTACAGGTTCCAATAAAAGGTTTCTTTCCCTTAATAATTGGTTGGATACTTGAACTAGCATTCAATTGACCTTCAATATCTCAGTGAACGGGTCTGGTTCATTTCAGACAACAAGAGTGAAGTTCGATATTTCAATATGAACAATCGCGTGTCCATTGTTTGGTACTTGGTTATCTTGTTCGTGAGCGGTTTCTTGACTCATTCTACAATTAATAGAAATTCCTTTATTAAGATTCTTTGTTTGAGTAGGCAATTTAATTAACAGATATCGCGAGGGTATACAATAGTTGCCATGGTTGTAAACAATCAAGAGAATTTTGGGAGAAACGATAGGGTTTATTAATTCTAAACGCTTGCATTTTGAGTCAATGATCGGATCGTGTTGAGGATCGTGTTGAGTTCACACAAGGAGATTCGGTATTGAATTCACATATGTTGTTCGAAACATCAACATTAATCGTTTCATCAGGGTCGCCTCACTTCCACGCGACCTTATAGTGCAGATCGGTCTTGTCATTCGCGATGCAATAAGCACGTTGGTAACGGATCAGAGAGTCATACATTTTTCGTTTATTCTTTTGTCTCTTGCCGAGTACAAAAGTTTGACTTGAGTCAACGCTCAATATAATTTTAGTGCTAACAATCATCATCTAATGAGAATTTAAAACAGTCAATATTTACTAAGTAAATTCTCATTACCTTTCCTGGAGCAGAAGGAAGCGAGAGTCATGGATGTGATTGACATTGTTTTTTTAAATCAAATCTTGATCCGAAGATCGGGTTTAAAACCATTTGCTCCGATGCCAAATTGTAACACCATAATCTGTCCAGGTCTGCAGCCTCTTTCGGACTAAAGTATTAACTTGGTAATCGTAAAAATTTAAAACATTTCCAAACACTTTTATTCATCATAAGAATAATACTTTTCATAACATAAACAGTACGGAGTTTTCAATATTGCAGAAGTTTAACAAATCATAATCACCAACATAATTTATTTATGTTCTTCTATTCAAAACCATCACATCCATTCTAACAATCACGTCTCCGTCTGCCTCCAGGATCACGTCACATCACGCTTTCTATTAACCTGTGTGTAACAAATATAACATACTACACGCTCAGCGTTGAAGCTGAGTAAGCATATCTAATGCGTCGAACATCCATATAAATTGAATCTAAATTCATAATCAAATCATTTGATATCAGGCACATAATGTTCAATTCAGGCATTCATCATTCATAATATTCACAATATTCAATTCAATTCATTTATCGTTCATGATATTCACAATATTCAATTCAAGTCATTTGATACATACAACATTCCATATTCAGTATTTCAACAATGCTCTTAAACTATTCTTAATCTAAGTCACTAATTTTAACCAACTCTTAAACGAATTCTAGTTTAAGGTTTTTAAACTATATTCCAGTTTAAGGTACTTCTAACTAACCCTTACGCTAGTCCTAGTTTAAGATACAAGTTTTCGAAAGAGGTATTCAAAATCTTAAGCTTA